TCTACTCCTAGCACTGAAATTTAATGCTCAAAACATTTTCATTTCCTCCTAATTATGTTTCAAATTTGTTAGGTAAAAGAATCTGGGAAATTGCGAGAAATAATGCAGACCATTCTAACCCTGGGAAATGCACTGAATCAGGGCACTGCACGAGGTAAAACTTGCTATGGCTCATTGGGCGTTCTTTAATCAAGCCGATTGAATAATGATTTTCTTTCACTTTTTCTTTTTGTGATGCATTGCAGGATCTGCTGTCGGGTTTAAATTGGATAGTCTTCTTAAACTTTCTGATACTCGTGCTAGAAACAACAAAATGACTTTAATGCATTATCTTTGCAAGGTAGAGTTTTTTTTTTTTTTTTTTTTTTTGTCTCTTTGATATCACTTATATCTTGTAATGTTTCTATAAACTGTTTAGCTTAAGAGAAGGAAATTCATTTTCTCGCTTGTAATGCTCTGAATTTCTGCAATTACCATGTGTTTTTTAGTCTTTAAGATATTGTGTAAAATTTGAATTGGGGTGCTATTGTCACTTGTTCAACAGCTGCTTGCAGACAAAATGCCTGACCTGCTTGATTACGGAAAGGATCTTGTTCATTTGGAAGCAGCCGCTAAGGTTTGTTAATATTGAAACCATTGAACTTAGACTGAAGGGTGTGTGGGGGGTGGGGGAGGAATGGCCGTGATGGGCTACGTGGCCTCCACACCGCCCCGCTCCTCCGTGACTGTGATGGCGGTGATCCCCATCACACACATCATGCTTCTTTCTCCTCTTTTCTTTTCTTTTTGTTCTTTCTTTTTTTCCTTTGTTTTCTTTTCATCACGCCTCTTTTCTTTTCTCCTCTTTTGCCATCTTTCTTTGGTTCTCACTTTTGGTTTTTTTGTACTTTTATATTTTTTGTTTAAAATTTTATGCGGAGTACTTTTTGTTTTAAATTTTATGTTTCTTGGTTAGTTAAATGTTAAATAAAATTTAAGTAAAAAAACAAATCAATGAAATTTCTAAAATTAATTTTATTGAGAATTTTATTTTATATTTTAAGTTTAATTTATTTAAATTAAAATATTTTTAAAGAAGAAAAAATGGGTGTGATTCACACCCCTGGACGGGGATGAGATGTGATATGAAAGAGAAAAGCTGACGTGGCGTTGAGTGGCAGGAAGGGATGGCGTGATGGGCATGATCCACACCCACCAGTCTTATGATCTTTTTTTGCATCTTTACTAAGCCCCCCTTGGAATGATTAGATCCAACTAAAGTCTTTGGCTGAAGAAATGCAAGCAGTAAGTAAAGGTCTTGAGAAAGTTGATCAAGAACTCACTGCCTCAGAGAATGATGGTGCCATATCTCATGGCTTTCAAAAGGTGTGAGTGTGAGACTAGATAATACTTCAGTTTTTAATTCCTTCTGCATATGTTTTGTATAACATAGTTTTCAGTTACATCTCTGGTTTGTGGCTTGGAATATCATATGATATGTGATTATTCTTTGAAAAGAAGTAAAAAAAAATGAAAGAATTGCAGGAACATTGGTGTACTATTAATGTTTTCCTCAAAGTCAAGTGTTGATCCTCTAGTTTTCAAATATCCATTTCTAAATGCAACTTTACTATATTCGTTTGTAGCTATATGGATTTTATTTTACATATGTGTTGAATATAATGCTTAGCTGGTAATTTGAACCTGTTTCTCAGGTCTTGAAGAGTTTCCTTGATACTGCTGAAGCTGATGTTAGGTCTCTAATCACCCTGTATACTGAAGTGGTGAGCCGCCCACTGTTTGACTTTTTGGTTCTCTATTTTTTTTTTTTTTTTTGCATTTCTTTTTTCATTAGCCAGTTTGCAGAGAAAGGTTGTTGGTGATCACGACGTGGTATTTGTAGGGGAGAAATGCAGACTCTCTATCACTGTATTTTGGCGAGGATCCTGCTCGATGCCCCTTTGAGCAAGGTTGGTAACAAAATCCGTTTGTCTCGTTTCTGTCCACATTGCTTTCTGCAGATGGACCAAGTTGTGAGACCAAAGTGTTCAAATAGACCACTGTATCATTGCATCACTTTTTTGGGTAGGAGTTGTTTGAAAGTAGGAGGGCAAAAAAGTCAAATAGACATTTCAAGTAAAGTTAAAAGGAAATCATTTTCATGAAACATATATACACACACAAGCAGAGAGAGAGAGAGAGAGAGAGAGAGAGAGATACATGATGCATACAT